CCCCGCCCTGCCCCCTCCTCCCCCTTGCCTTCCTCCCTGTCCTGTTCCCTGCCTCCCTCCCTGTCCTGTCCTCTCCCTTATCTCCCTCCCTGTCCTGTCCTCTCCCTTGCTTCCCTCCCTGTCCTGTCCTCTCCCTTGCTTCCCTCCCTGTCCTGTTCTCTCCCTTGCCTCCCTCCCTGTCCTGTCCTGTCCCCTGCCTCCCTCCCTGTCCCCGCCGTGCCCAGCCCAGCGCCCTGAGCTCGCAGCTGTGTGCAGGGCTCGGCTGTGCCCCTGGGGCCGAGGAGCAGCTGCAGGTGGTTCTCAGGGGTCACTCCCAGCGCTGTTAACAGAGGCAGCTGCGTTCGGAGGTGTTGGTTAAGGCAGTGATATAAACCTGTCGGACAGGGGAAGTGTTTAGGGGAAAGTGTTAGGATCTGTCTGATTTCTCTCTGGGGTCAAGGTAACTTTTTTATGGCATGTAAGAGTTTCCTGTGCTGAAGGTGGACTGTGTTGTAGCTGCATTCTCGACCGAGTGAGAGGATGGTGTTTGCCTAGTTGACTTGAATCTTCAAAGTTCAAAAAACTCAACTTTTAGCTTATTTTTTAAAGTTAAGTGTAGTCTTTGTAGGGCTTTTATTGTAACGGGAACAGTGTTTCCCAGCGCTGTTTATTTACATGCTATACATCCTGTCAAAGTCAATATTTACCTATGCCTTGGTTTTGTTGTGCTGCAATTGACCAGATAGTGTGAAAGGAACATTGACTTTACCAGGGCTCTAAGGATTTGGTAGTTTAAAGCCTTGTCTGTTTCATTTGTCTTGGAAGATTTGACTTAGGTGTAGTGTTGACTTGAAAGTTCATGACTTAGACTATCCACTAAAAGAGTTGTTACTCTGTGGGTGATGTGGTTACACAGTATTGTTACCTGAAAGCTGATTGACTAATGTACCCTAGAGCTGTGCAAAATGTTGACTTTGAGGTTCCTTCCCATGCAGGCTCAGGCCCTGTGGCTGTAGAAGGCATTTGGGTGGTTTTAAGTGCTTGAGTCTTTTTTGACTCCTGCTGCCTCCTTTTTTTTTGTGAAATGTATAAAAAAAGTGACTTCTGTGCAGTGATATTGTTATTGTAGTTCACTTCCTCCTTTCCCTGTTTGTAGAGATTTTGCCTGGAGATTTGTTTGCAGAGTTGTAGATAATAACTGAAAAAATGTATTTACTCAAGAAATAAACATCCTTTTAGTAAAAATGCTTTTCTGATGATGGATCTGATTTTGAAAAGCAAATTTTATGTATCATCTTTCAGGTAATATAGCTAAAAATGAAAATCATGTTCTTGTTTATCAAATGTTTTGCTGCATCTTTAGAAGTAAGTTAACATTTGTATAATTTCACCGACTTTCTGCTTCCTTTCTGGCCCTGGTATAGTCCTAGAGTGACTGAAGCTCCCCCAGTTCACAAACAGTTCTGTTTTGTTTGGTGTTAGTTTGTTTTCTAGCAGGAGTAAGATATAGTAAACATGGAGTGTAGACACATGTGCCTGAGACTCAGGTTTTGTAGCCAACAGCAATGTATCATTTAAGACCCAATCCTGTAGGAGGGAATCCACAGCTTCATGTTTATGTATATTGAATTCTGAAATACATTTTTGCCAGTAAAACTAAATTTTATTTAGAATTTTTTCTTCCTTGAGCAGTAAACACTTTCATTAATTGCTAGTAAGTTAGGAACAGATGAAAAAGATACTCATTAGCTGACCAGTCTGAACCCCCTGAAATTTTGGTTACTTTAGAAAGCATAAACTTCTTTAAAGATTTGGAAAAACTTGTCATCATAATGACAGACACTCTTTTCTTATTGTACCTTCATTTAGTGCCATAAGTAATAGATGTGACTGCAGGAAACATCCTGGTGTAAATTTCACATGAACTTGTTGTAGTCTGTGTCCTGTTACTCAGATAAGTAAAAGTAAAAAAAAATAACAAAACAAGAGGTTAGTGCAGAAGAAGGGAGCACAAGATGTAACAAACCTTTACTACCCTTTGTGCTGTGCACTCTGTCATGTTAATAACTCCACTAACATTGCTTTCACTTAATTTAATGCTGATTGCCTTTAACATTTACTAAACAGTTTTGACAATTGCTGTGGCTTAGCCTGAGCCGTTTGTGATTAGCTGCACCAATTTGAAATGGCCAATTGGGATGATGACAGAGCCTCCTCTGCGCATGCTTTTGTAAAGTTTGGTAAGTGTGCAGTTCTGTGTTTTGGTTTTGTTTGTGGCTGTTTTAATTCAACAAAAAGTAATTGTGTGTTTTGTGTTTCATGCAGTGTTTTGTTTTTTGGCAGCAGTTTTTAGCATGGACAGTAGAATTAAAAACTTTCAGCTCTCCGTGAAAATTTCTGAAAATTGGAATCTGCTTAGATTGAAATCTGCTGTCAAATCTCCCTGTTTTGTTTCTCTTTTGTGTTCTTATAAGTATCTCTCAGTGTAACAATCTCTGAACTGAAATTTCAAGTTTAAGATGACAGTCATGTGAAAGATGCACTAAGAATGGTGTTCAGAATTGACTCCTAAAAAACCCCAGCATGACTGGGTGAGAGATAAGAAATAAAACTTCCAGTAAGTCAGCCCTCGTTCCAAAGCTTGGCGTGTGGAAATTAAGTGGAAGCAAAGTGGAGCCCTCAGGCACAGCTTCTCAGGTACAACAGAAGCTGCAATATATGAAGTTGTCAAGACCATTACTGTGGTTTCAAAAGGAGTTTGGGAGCAGATTAACCATACGTGGCACTAACTGGTCCGGGGAAGACTCTGTAGGACTCTTGTGTAGTCCCTGTTGAAATTCAGAAGCAGAACAAGTGCTGGTGAGAGTAACCAGGTCAAGGGATTTCAACTGGCTCTTGCTCTCAGTGTCAAAGAGCATGTGAAGTGTTTAAATTGTAATCAAATTTGACTCTTTTTACTTTTTTTTACTCTTTCCTAGTTTTTATATTGATACTTGATGTTTCTGTTGTTACAATGCAAAAATAAAGGTTTTTAGTAGTTTGAAGAGCTGTTGAGTACTCAGAAGTGGCACTGCCTGCCTTGAATGTCCTGCATGGTTTCCTGCCTTGCTCGTAGCATTTCCAAGGCTTGTGTGGTAGGCTTTGGCATTTTGGTTGTGTGAAGCTCCTGTGTCCTGGCATGATGATCAGTATTTTATTTCTGGTGTTCATTAGCTCCTGTGTGCTATTAGCTACTATAAATCCTGAAATCAGTAATTTCCATTAAGTATAATATACTGTAGAGAGAAATCACTTCAGATGATTAGGAAATAAGAAAAGGACTAAATAAATTGGTGCATTTTTTCCCTTTCTGGTGACCAGGGACAGGACCCAAGGGAATGGCCTGGAGATGTCAGGGGAGGGTTAGGCTAGACATTAGGAAAAGGTTCTTCCCCCAGAGGGTGGTTGGGCACTGGAACCCAGGGCAGTGGTCACAGAGATCCAGAACTTGTTTCTGCCAGAGCTTAAGCATTGTCCAAACTCTCTCAGGCACATGGTGAGATTGTTGGTGTGTCCTGGGCAGGGCCAGGAGTTGGACTTGGTTGGTCATTATGGGTCCCTTCCAACTCAGGGTATTCTATGATTCTGTGAAATGCTAATTGAATTACATGCACAGCTTTTTTTCTTTTGGCCTGTGCTGATTTAATTATGCAAATACACACTTCTGTTTTTGTTCTGGCATGTGAAGTGTTGGAAACAAAGTTCTTGCCACGATGCTTCCATTTGTTTGTGATTAAACTTCGGGGAAGTGTTTGTTTAATTCTGTGCTTTGAATCGTTTGGATAAACCATCCTTGTTAAAATACACAAATCTTTATTATCCATAGATTAGGTCCAGAACTGTAATTCAGCATTCTAATGCCTGTTTTTCTTTAACATCCTCAATTACTGCCATCTTCAAGGATCTGTGTGTGTTCAAAGATTCCACACACACAAATTTGGGAGCAGGGGTGTTTAAAAGCTGTGTTGGCCATAGCTTCTAAATCTAAACACCTAGACAGTTTTTATAGCTCTTCCCTGAAGAGCAATTAGTGCTAAGCTCAAGTATAACTGGAATAAAAATGAGGTGGATGGTGAAGTACTTTAACATCAGGATGACATAATATTTTTAGCCTCCAGAGGTTGTGCATACGTAAGTGTTTACACTGCTAATAGCTTACTTTGGAGAACTTTCCTTGCTTTCATTCACTTTGTATTCTGCTTAGAGAGATAATTAGATTGTCAGGTTTTCCTGGAATTGTACTGAATTTCATCTACTGGATAAGGTGTTCTTATACTTTCCCTGTGCTAGCTAAGAAATGCCTTGTCTATCACTTTAGTTCTGCACTAGGATTTGTTGTGTCTGTTACCAGTGACTGAGCTGAGATTCTTTCTTGCTATTACCTTGAAAGGAAATGACTGTCCTTTTTAGTAATTCTTCAGCTTGAAGATTGGTGAAATCATATTACTCTACAACCTGTAAATGGTAGGAAATGAAAGGGGATTAATTTTCATTCAGAATATGGATATAGGGTATTTATAGTCAGTGCACTAAGATAAACAGGGATTTAATTGGACTTGGAATCAAGATTTTGAGTGTTCTCTTATCAGACCTTAAATTAATTATGAATGCAGGAAGCAGCATTTTGATTTCCTATCAGTGTTTTACTGATTTTGAAGTAGGCACTGCCTTGCAGCAATCCACTTCTGGAGTAAGGGAATAACTGTCATACTTCCTTCTTTGTGGAAGAAGAGCTGTGCTACCATGTACTCTATTTAAATGTTGTACAGGGTTTGTCACACAGCTGAAGAAATACTAAATCCACAAAACAGTTCTTTTATATTACTTCCTGGCATATCTACTTACCTAAAATAAAACTCTCACTGTATGGCTACAATGAAGTGATACATTTATGAAAAACAGTATTTAAAATTAATGTCCTCATTCTCTTTCTTCCAAATGCTAACGTGCAAACGAGACCTCCAGGGTACTATTTGCATATGTCATTCTGTTATGTTTAGAGTGGTGCAGTCTTGCTGTTGTCACTTTTTTTTTTTTTCAGTTTGAAAACCTACTTTAAATACATAAATGAAAATAGCTTTCTCTGACAGATTTTTGTCTTGCTGAAATGAGCTCTTGAATTTTGGAACAGGGTGTAGATGGTTTTTGGTTTTTTTTTAGCCACCTTAAAAATAGCTTCCACGGTGTTATGGTCTGACTACACAAGCACAGGGAAGGAGCAGCTAACTTGGGGTTTGTCCTGGCTGGTTCTTGATTAGGTTGTGATAGTAATGAAACATAATTTACCACATGATTTCTCCAGGAGAATGCTGTACACACCCAAGCAAAACAAACTATATAGATGCTAATGAGAAATTAATGAAGAATATGTGAAAAAAATTGATTTAAGCAAGTTCTCCTACTTGGAGATGGGAGTAATTTTGAGGAATGCTTTGGAGTTTTATGCCTTGAAAAGCATTTTCTCAATTTGCTTGAACTTTGAATTCATTTCACCTCTCTGTTTCATCAACAATCTACTCACTACTCACTGTTGTAATGTATTTCTGTTAGTAAAGTTTCAAACATCTAAAATAATGTACGTTGTAGGTGATGCTGCTTTGACATTTCCATCCTCTTTACTCTCTTCCATCTCCTTTCTGCACAAACTTGAACCCTTTGCATGCTCTAAAAGAGAAGAATATGCTTTTTGTTCGTTATAACTTTATTTTATTTCTCTGTTGGCCACAGAGGGTCACAGATTGTCTGGTGAGTATGTACATTAGAATAATTCTGGTTTAGGCTCTTTTGACTTGTGTGTGTCAGTGTGTGCCTGTGAATATCCCACTGTGTTTGGTGGTGCAGTGCTGGGGTTAACAGGCTGCACCAAGTAGACATTCTGAACCCATTTCACACACAAAGGGCTGTGTACAATGCATGAGTTATACAATTAAACCTATGAGGAAGAATCTTTATTTTGCTTTTGAAAGCCTAGTAAGTAAATATTTGCCATAAATTTGCTACTTTTTGTGCAGTAAGTGACTTCATGAAGATTTTTTTTTTCCTTTGCTTATTCTGTCCTACTTTCTCTGAATTGCCTTAGAAAGTTCCAGTTACTGCAGGTCACTGTGCTGTGTGTTTTTGCAGTAGGACTGAGTTCACAGTACAGCACTGTAAATCCTCAATCTTCTCACGGATGGTGTTTCATAGGCAAAAAGAAGTAGCAAAATAAAGTTTTGAAAAACAGATTGAAATTGGTTCAGAATGTTGAATTATTTCTTTATTTGTAGCAGAAGATATGAAAGGTGTGTTACAGTACAAACTTTTATTTTCCATTGCAGAACAATTGCATTTCTTCTGACTTCAGAATTTAGGCAGCTCTGGGGTTCCCTCTCAGGCCCTTTCCCATGTGTTTGTGTTGTTTGTAACTTAACCTCTCCCAGTGAGGGAGGGAAAGGCTGTGGGGGAAGCTCAGATATGTTGGGAAACATCCCCAGACCAGCTTTGCTCAGCTGACCCACAGGGCTCTGCTCAGGGAGGGGTGGATTTTATTTTTTAGCTGCTGTGGTCACAAACCAAAAGTAATACTAAATTGGGGGTGAAGTTTGAGTTCTTGAGGGACAAGAGGTGTTTTACTGTCACCCAGACTAAGGATTTGATTCACAAAACTCCTGTCCCCACTCCATGCACATTGACCTCATTTGGATGAGAGTTCTATATGCCTGGAGCTGTGCAGGGATTGTGAAAGAGCAGTTGAACAGGAGCACTCTGCTGTGTCCTGCCAGGATTGCTGGGCTGGCAGAGCTTCCCTGGCACTGCAGTCCCTGAGCTTTTCAGCAGGGCAGTGTGCGGTCCGGAAAGGGAAAATTCTGCCTCTTCCAGCTCTCACATGGCTCTGTAGGAGATCCTGTCATCCAGGGCACTCAATGCAGTCCTTTGTGGAGGGACAGCTCTATGTTGCTCTGACATTAGAAGCTGGAAATGGTTCACCCCAGTCATTTTGAATAGGTAGCTCATGTCAGGAAAATTGACTGTTGAGGTGCTAAGAAGGAAGCAATAAATATGTGGGACATTGAGAAGCAAAGATTTGCTAGCTTTGTATTTCTCTGGAATATAGGGGATTTGGGGGGTTTATCTGTTGGAGAGGTTGTTTAGGCTTTGGTAGTAGTGGGAACAAGCCAACCCTTTTTTCCATTCCAGCCCTGAGATCAGCTGGGTGGGTGCAAATGAGGTTGGGGTAGGTACATCATTGAGTGTTGTAGGTGTTCTCCACTTTAGAAATCAGGCAGGGAAGAAATAGTTAAATCTGGTCTACTTGTATCCCTTTTCTGTTTTTCTATATATCTTCAGGAATTTTGTCTGTAGCATACTTAAGTTCCCTAGAAAATTCTTAACATTTAATAATCTCTTCAATAATTAACTCTACATTTATGTAGCGTTTGCTGGAGCTGAGTGTCTACAAGGCATTGGAGATCCAGATGGAGATCTGGTTTGTGTAGACAACTACTGTAGATAAAAATGTGTATAGAAATCTCTTCTCTGGGATTGTAGAAATAACAACTTTTTTTATTGTACTTTTGTATGACAATGAGGGGAAAATACCACATTGCAGTAATTTGTAGCAATATTTGAATCATGAAACTAATGCTGATCTTGACTTTGTTGGTGTTTTTCCTTTTTTTTTTAGGTTCTATTTATGAGCCACTTAAAAGTATTAACCTTCTAAAGCCAGAGGGGGAAAGTCTGTGGGATAAATTGAATCATTACTATAGAATTGGTAAGTTAATGATAGTTCCTACCATGAAAAATTTTCGGTGCAACTTATTTAAATATTTGCAGTTATACTTAGGGAAATAATTAGCTTTGTCTTAGAATAATACCTGTCCTTAATAAGGATTTTCTGAGAGGTGAAGGGATCTGTCACTACAGTTCCTCATGAGATTCCTGTGATAATGTAGTGTATGCATTGCTTGAAAAATCCTGAGCAGCAAATAGTGTTCAAAATTATCATCTGCATTTGTCAAATGGTAAATAGATTCTGAGTTGCACCTGATGGACTTGGATGGGGAGGGGCAGAGGTAATCTGAGAAGTTTTTGATGCTTGAACTAACCCAGATATGAGCCAAAATTGATGTTTGCATGGTAAATATCAGCACTACATCATTCCTACTTGAGGATCATTTTGGATAAAGAGGGAGCACAATATTGTGGCATTAACCAGATACAGCTGAGGAAAGATTTAAATGGGAAACAAAAAAAATCATTCTTGTGATGCTTAGAACAGTTTGGCAGGTGATCAGTGAGAAGTTCATTTTTTGTCATCAGTGCTGCCATGATGTCTTCTTGTGCTGAATTTTATTGGTTAGCTGACTTGAAGTCAACTTCAGTGTTTTTCTTTTAATCGTGAGGTTGTTTTAAACTAAAACTGCTAAAGAAGCAATGATTTATTTTGATTGTTTGGAGGGTTAGGAGGTTTGTGTTAAAATGGAGTCCTGCATGGATTCTAAAATCAGCATTTTTAACAGCTGTGTAATAGTGTTTAAAACTTAAGCTTTGCTCAGGCAAGGGTATAGAATACTGAACAATTTTTCCATCATTCTAAAAATGTGGGATGAGACTCCACGTTTGGTTTTAGAATAATCTACAGTGACTTTTTCAGGTAAGATTTCAGTTTTTCTTAGAAGGTATTAAGACACTGAAGAATCTAATGAAAAATGTTGTAAAACCTTATAATTTTCATGTAGAATGCTTAATTTCTAACACATAGCCAATAAAGAGGCTTTTTTAAAACTGGTGCTTGATAACAATCTGGGAAAAAACTGCTTTTGTCTCTTCTTATGTGCAGATTGGTGTTAGAAAGGTTATGCTCAAGGGCATTAGGCTCAGGTTCAATCTTGTAGCACACTGGTTATTACATCATTTTAGAAAAACAATTCACAAAATGGAAAATATTAAAGTACAAAAAATCAAGTACTATTTATTGTTTTTTCCTGTCCTGTTGTATTTTTATGTTGAGGAACTGAGTTAAGTAATTATAGTTGTCCTTCCTCATTTACTCACTCCTATTAAAAATGTTGATGCAGTCACCTGGCCTAAGTTAAAAATGTAGTTTTTGTGAGTGAGTTCTGCAGAGTAAGTGTTGAAATGCTTGGGGAGGCAGTTGGCATCCTGTAGTCACTTTTTCATAAAGGAAATGACTGGGTTGCATTGTGGAGATGCTACAAAGTGGTTTGTGCTAGAACAGTCATATAAATAGCTTTGAATACTGTTGTTTTTTTTGTAAAATGGTCTAATTTGACTGAAAAAACCAAGGTAGCCACATTGTTTTGTTTCTCTTTGTAAAATGGTCTAATTAGACTGAAAACACTAAGGTAGCCACATTGTTTTGTTTCTCTTACCTTTCTTTCTATTGTTATATGTTGTACATGCTCTAACAGGTTGTTCACACCTTGATTTGTTCCTGAAAATCGATTGAGAAACTGGAAGAAACAGAATTGTTGCTAATGCCCTTTTTATTTTTCCTTTGTCCAGTTAAATCAACGGTGTTGCTCTATCAAAGTCCAACCACAGGTCTCTTTCCCACAAAGACCTATGGGGATAACCAGAAGGCAAAAGTCCAGGACAGTCTCTACTGTGCTGCCTGTGCCTGGGCATTAGCCCTTGCCTACAGGTGAGGAACTTCTCCACTCACATCTCTGCCATGGTACATTCTTTCTGTCCTGCAGTTCCCCAGGAAAGTTTGAAAAGCTGAAGCTTTGTCAAAAATAGATTTGTAAACCCATAGAGATGGTGCAAGTTTCCAAACCTCAGTGAAAATAGCTGCTAGGGTGGAAATGTCACTCTGCTTCTGGAAAGTAAAGATATCTTAATATAATGTAATTGGTACCAAGGTTTGTAACAGAGGAACTAATGGATGCTGTTGAAAATCAAGGTTATAGTGGCAAGTTGTCCCAAGGAATATTGGGAGAGTTCAGCATGGAAAAACAGGCTGGTTGCAGGTACTAACAATCCAGTTACTTGCAAGACACTGAACGTTACAATACAGTCAAGATTTTACTTTATTTTTCAAATTTTGAAAAAGAAATGTTTATGGAAGTTGCAAGATAAACTAGCCAAACCTTTTATTATTACTGTTTTTAATAAGGAAAGATGAACAGGGCTATAAACATGTTGCTAGGAGTGAGGGCACCACTGTCCAACAGCGTTAGTTAAGTGCTTAATATTCCAAAGCATTAATGCCTCCTTTTTTCTCCCCCCTAATGCATTTCCAATTTGTTTTACGAGTTATCTCTCTTCCCCAGGCGTATTGATGATGACAAGGGAAGGACTCATGAGCTGGAGCATTCTGCTATAAAGTGTATGAGAGGAATTCTCTACTGCTACATGCGTCAGGCCGATAAGGTAACACACTGTGCTGTGGACACAAGCACTTGCTTAATTCTAGGGGATTAATTAGCCTGTGAAAACTAACTTGTAAATATAGATAAAGACTCCAAAGGGGAGTGCAGTGTTCCTGTGTGGCCCAGCTCAGAACAGCTGCTCCATTAGCACCAGGCCACGACATTGTTTCAGGCTGTAGAAGACACAAGTGTTTCCTGGGGTAAACTGCAGGGTGTGCTTAAAACTTCTTTGGGCTACTTTGGCAGTTATTTGTCCCATTTAAATATTACACCATTAGTAATTGTTGTGGGAGTTGTGTCTTTTTAGTGATTAAGTGGAAAGATGTAGAACTTTGAGTTAATGCTGATGAGTTTTCTCTGCACTGTTGTCTTGGTTATTGCATTTGCAGTTGTTCTCTTTACCTAGGTGGTAGTTTTGATTATTTTGCTTGGTTTCTTTAGCAGACACTTTCCAGTATTGTTTGGCTCGATGGTGTAAGTTTGGAAGGGCAGCAACCCAAAATAGACAAGGAAATAGAGTAATTTGCTTATGTTCTAACATAGCTGATTTATTCAGTCTGTAGTCCTCTTGTGAGTATGCCCTGAATATTCAGTGCTTCTCCTTACCAAAATTTAGGTAAGGTGGATTCATTTGTGTGGTGGTTAGCATTAACTCTAGAAGTAGTTAAATATGTATGTATTCCATGTGATGATTTTAAGTTTCACATCACTTTTAAGTGGATTATTAGAAGCAGTTTTTGTGTAACCACAGCTGAGCACACAAACTGAAATGTGAAGTCCATGGGCAGGTGATATCAGGAACAATAATAACTAGCAGATCAGATGTATTGCCAGTTGTATTTATCCTGACTTTTTTCTGGTTTTTGCCCTGTTTCTTTGTAGACTTATGTCTTTAAATAATCTGGACCTTGTTACGTTTGAGCTGTTGTTTTGTGCAGTTGTTTGTTTTGAGGCTGCTGAGTGCAGCTATGAACAATGAGCATGAAATGATCACAGGTGCCACCCTGCTGACCTGCTGCTTGTCAGGTTTTGCCTCGTTCATTATAAATGGTTTTCTTTGCCTCCAGTGTGATAATAAACAGTTTCCAGTACCTAGCAGACATAAGTCAAGCTGGACTTTGTTCTGGAGGCTGTGTATGTGTTGGCCTGATGGAGAAGGAGCATGTCTTTTAAGAATCTGATTTATATGTGCCCAAGGCATGACTGGAACAGCTGCTGCTGCTTCTAACAAAAATTGCAGATGTTGTATTCTGTTGCTGATTAACATAGGAGTTATGACCTGAACTGTATTTAATGTGTTTGTGGAGCAGACATGAAACTCCACAATACAGCATTGACTTTCTTGTTTCTGAGGCACCCACTGTATGTTATGTATGATTAGTTGGTAGAGGAGAATATTCCGTGAAGTTGTTGAAAATCTTGTGAAATGTGGATCAGGTACTGGGAGTGATGGTTGGAAAATTCAAATATTTGTTGGAGAGCAAAGCATGACTTGAAGATTTATGAAGAAAGGTCGTTTTGTTTGGTTGGTTTTTAACCTTCCTCCTTTTCTTTGTGAATTGAATTCCTCTGCTCTCTTGGCAGCTGTCTGTCAGTCCAGATTGTTTTCTCAAACAGTTTTGTAAGGGAGCAGACATTGTATTTCATGACAAAAATGGAATCAAAGCTACTTTAAAATGACCCCAGTACTTAATTCAATCCTTTGTTGTTACCCTCATCCACCTTAGTACATTCCACCTCCACTGTGAGAGACTCTGTATCTTAGAGGCATATTCTGAGGTCCAGTGAGAGTGTCCATGAAGAAAAATTTACTTCAGTCTTGGGCATTGTTCTTCCTATCCATGATCTGTTTGCTTTATAATCTGCTAGAGTCTGTAAACATTCCACTGTACGTGAGTGTCACAAACAGTGCTCACCAAGTTAATTCTTTGTTCTCCTATGTGCTCTTTTATACTGGATATTCATAGCTCTTGCAGCTTTTCATCTCCCACATGATCTACATGGTGCAATTTCGGAATGCTTTCTATGTCTTAGCAATTATTATTAACAGTAATTTTTTTGTTGTTTTAAAACCTTTTTCACATTGTTAAATGGTACAGTAATTATTTTGTGGATCATGATTCAGAAAAAGTAAGAACTCATGGGCCAGGACTCTATGGGTACTTTTCAGACCTGTGAATTCAAGCTAAGTGTGCTATACTTCAACATGCTTTTGGCTAAGATTTCAGCTCCAGGAAAACGTGGTGGTGTTTGTCCAGAAGATGAAAGCAACTGAGCATCTCTAGCTTTCTCTTACAGATCTCTTTTATTTTTCTACCAACCCCAAAGAGATTAGATAAGTGGGTTGAATATTTGTATTCTTTAAGTGTATCTATGCTTGTAAGTATATATGAAATAGATTCTAGTAAGTGTCAGGAGCTGTTGTTTGTAAGTTTTACATCGTGGTCACGTAGGGGAACGTTTAAATAACTGAGGTCTAGTGAAATTGTGGTTGCTGAGTACACTGAACTTCTTGACTTGGATTTCATGTTTTACTTTTAGGTTCAGAAATTTAAGCAAGACCCCAAACCATCTGCATGTCTACATTCTGTTTTCTGTGCACGGACTGGAGACGAAGTGTTCTCCCATGAGGAGTATGGTCACCTGCAGGTAACCCTGAGGTGTTCTCCCACGAGGAGTATGGTCACCTGCAGGTAACCCGTGTGGATGTGTCAAGGAGGGTTTGGCTCATTTGCAATCATGTTATTGTTGCCTCTCTGCTTTCATGGTGCAGCTGTCTCAGTTTAGTTAGCTTTGTAATGTATGTAGTGTCTCAGTTTGGTTAGGTTTGTGCTGTATGTGGTGAAATTGAGATTCCTTCTGCATATTGTGGTGAAAAAAACTATTTTGAACCATAACTCAGTGCCTGAGATTCCTTCTGCATATTGGGGTGAACAAAACTATTTTGAACCATAACTCAGTGCTGTATTTCGGTCAGAAGGTACTGAAATAACTGGGGGATTGTGGAGGTCGATGGTTGGTTGTTATGTTTTGGTCAGAAGGTACTGAAATAACTGGAGGATTGTGGAGGTCGATGGTTGGTTGTTTACAAAGTTGCTTCTTTTTGAGACCAACAGATGGCTGTTAATAAATAATCCTGGCAAAAAAATGTTGTAGTCAGTGAAGTGAAAGATTTGTGTCATTTTACAGTGAATATTTTTATGAATGTTCCCAGCTTAGTTTCTGTAAGTTTGAGCGATTTTCGTTCATAACAAAGATTTAATGTACACTGACACAGTTTTGTCTAGGTAGGATTTGTTGTTCCCTACTTTGTGTAGTCGTTCCTAGTCAGATTCATTGCATAACTGAATTTTTTTAGTCTTTCTTTTTTCAGAGTTTTGATCTACTCCGTTGTTTTATTTCTCCTTCGCTTCACTTTCACACCATTCTTTGCTTTCATGACCTTGTTATTTTGCATTCCATAACCCTGTACACTCTTTTTTAGTTCAGAGATTGCTAGTGAAATTACTCAGAAGTGACAGGAGGTTGATGATTATTTAATTTCATGGTGACAATGTTACTTAAGTAGTTCGTACACTAAATGTGTCGGATTCAGAAAATGTGTGAGCTGAGAAAAATGCTCTGTGGAGTTGTCCTAAATTAGCATTTTGGACTTGGATGTGAAGCTTCCTGAAAAAGCATGTCTGTATCTGCATGGGGAGACAATAATTTCAGGACCTGGGAAACACTCTGTGATACTCTTTTTGTGGCAGCTCAACCCTTCCCATAAACATGAGTGCACATTCCCTTCTGTCATCAGCATACCTCAAACAATAAAAGGTGTTCAGCTCTGTGGAGACAACAGCAGGGAGGAATGAGAAGTATTATGTTGCCCTTATTGCTGGATCAAATCAAATGTTTTGGTTTAGATGGTTTCTCTAAATTTTGTATATAAAGATTGTGGGTTTATACCTCATTGAAGCAAGTTACTGTGCCAAACTTACTTTATTTAAGTTTTCCAAATTCTCAATTATAGCAGAATTTTGTAATAACCAGTAGTTTTCCTTATTTCATCAATGAATTGACATTATGGTGCTCATCTGTACAGCTGCTAGAGGTAATTGGTGTTAGCAATAAATGCAATGTACAACCACAAAAGAAAACAGTTTTCACAAATCTAATCATATCTGAATGCTGTAATTACACTCCTGTCAGTTGATAACACTAAAATTGCCATTAGGGATGAAGTGATTTTCTTTTTAGGTGTGCTGTGTACTACTCAGTCTTCCTTGCCTGTTTGGAAAGCTACTTGCTGATAAACTGTCAGATGTGTAAACGTGAAACAGCTTGTGACTAGTTTGAAATGATTTTTAAAATGACACTGCATCAGAAGTTTTAGGGGCTCCTGCTCATTTGTGGCATTTTTTCCTATTGATTGTTTCCACCTCATTAGATCTGGGATAGTGTTTTTGAAGAAGCAAAACTGTTACAGTGGAACTATCTTTGTTAGTGAATAATATCACATTTAGTTTGTTTATGTGACTTCAATAAACATAAAGTTAATTGTAGTTTCTGTGTTTAATTACTGCAGATCAATGCTCTGTCCTTATTTCTCCTCTATTTGGTTGAGATGATCTCTTCGGGGCTGCAGATTATCTACAACACAGATGAGGTACAAATCGATTTCCCATCTTAAAACGTGTTTGAAGTTGTGTTTTTTCTTGGTTTTATTTAATTACCAACTGTAAAACAGTTGCTCTGAAAATACACTGCAGGTGTTCTATGCTTTTAATGGAAGTCAGAAAAGATGAATGGAATGAATGGAGAGTGAAATGAATTAGTAGCTGAAAAAGTGTTAGATATGCAAAGAGTAAATGTGACATGACATTGCAAACTTCTGTAGTTCCCTGCTGTTGGTGAAAGGTACAAGGTCAAGAATGAAAAGGTCTGTTAGGACAGGTAACTTCTAGTTGTGGTGTTCTCACTTCTCACATTATTTCAAACTGTCAGGCAGTACATCCTGTCCAGTGGAATTTCTGTATCCTAAATAACAGGGCTCATTTTCTGGGAAGCTGAAGGACTTTCTTCAAGTGCATCTGAACCTGTGGGTGTTAAGAAGTTTTGCTGCACCTTTAATTGAAAACAAAACAATTATATGTCATGATAAGAGATGTTTGCAGAGATAGTTAACTCTTCTGTAAATAAGATAATAATAGCCACCATGGACTTGACTGGAGCATAAGTCATGCCAGGATAACCTGCTGTCCTGCTCTAAAATGAGGTTGTGTTTTGAGACTACAACAGAAAGCACAGATATATGTTAATTTTTTCCTTTTTTTTCTTTCAATTTTCTTAATCTGAATTTGTTTACATTTACTCTGTTCTGTTTAATAGTTACTGCAGTATTGCCTTAAAAAGCTTAAATGTACTACAGTACTACCATTAAAAAAAAAGATATTCCCAGTAATGGTGTATTTGCATCATATTTATAAAACATTCATCTTCATTAATCTCTTTTTTAGATAACAAGAGAACCAAGTGTTGCAACATGTCTCCTTTCTTGCTTAGTTAGATCATATGATAGGTCTGTATTATCTTCCCTGAATTGCCTTTATGTCTGTGAGGAGGCAAATGTATGTAATTATCTATTTACTTAGCTTGATTTATAATTTATATTATCCTCCAGATGTTTGCATTTAATTACAGATTCTGCAGCAAAAGTGCCTGTTTATAGACTCTCCAGTCAGTGGATATTCTCCACTTCTTTGTCAGGATGTAGTTTTCCTTGCAACTGTACCTTATAAATCTCTGGACTATGGAGATTTATCCTCAGATTATTTTACCACAGACCTGTATGTTCTGTTAGTCTCTGTGCAGCTTCAACAGTTGCCTGTATTCTCAGACCCTATTCATGCCATGCAATGATGATATGGATGAAGATGATGATTTGGAGAAAAGAGGACTGTGTGGAGACCTCAGAGCGAATTGTCAATATCTGAAGGGCCTACAAGGAACCAGAGCCTGTGTTAGGAACTGCAGTGATAGGACAAGGGGGAATGGGTTCAAACTGAAGGAGGGGAAGTTTAGGCTAGATGTGAAAATAAAGTTTTTCACTGGTGAAGGTGGTGAGACACTGTCCCAGGTTGCCCAGGGACGTGGTGGCTGCCCCGACCCTGGTGGTGTTCAATCCAGGCTGGATGAGCCTTGAGCAACCTGAGCTAGTGAGGAGGTGTCCCTGCCCAGGGCAGGGGTTGGGGCTGGATGATCTGTAAGGTCCATTCCAACCCCTAAATTCTGTGATTCTATATTCCCAAATTTTCCCACATGTGTAGAGAACGTTCAGCACAGTGGCACTGTGGATGTGACAATCTGCTACCCAAGCATGGAGTTGGATATTTCTTTCCAGTGCTGTCATTGCAGGGTGTATTTAGGCTCTTCCCCTCCTCAGAGGAGCAGAGCTAGCACAGTGGAAGGTGCTGGCAGATGGTAGATATTTGGCAAGCTGTCTGCATGAATATGTTTGTACACACAGCTCTTGGCTTTAGAGGCAATCAGTGCCTGCTTGATGTCAGGCATGGCAGCTGTCAGTGAGCTACCCTCTAGTTTCATCTGTTTGCAGTTGAAAAATTAATTTAATTGCATCTTTGCATCCCTAACAAAGATAACAGTGTGTGATTGGGGCTGAAGGAGAGCAGCTCTCTGCATGTTCAACAGTAGCACTAGTGCTGCATCCATGCTGGATGTGTGTTCTTTATTACACCTTGGTCTCCACATGCTCAGCTTTTGGATAAATAAGCTTAGCACACACAGTGTGTAATTTCTCTCAGTGCCATAGCATTGGTTTGGTTGTAGCATTTATGTGCCCACGATAGGAGTGATTTGTTCTCTGAAGATTTTAGTTTGCATCAAGCTATCTGCTGCCTTTTTTTAGTGTCATAAAATATCTGTAATTGACCATATTTTTTTTTTCCAAACATCATCACTGGTAGAAGGTAATCAGTAAGGTTATTTATTTCTATGTAGTGCTATTTGCCTCCTCAATTAGCTGAAGCATCTAAATTTCAGTTATTGATAGAGGTAGGAGAAGCCACACAGTTAATCACTGGGAGTTCTGACTTCATTCAGAGACACTTCATTTTAGTCCATCCTAATGCTAAATTACAGGGGTGAATATACTGGGCATGACTAAAGAGTGGGACAGTGCTTTCTTGAGAGTAGTAGGTCTGAAAAGATTTACTGTACAGATAATTGTACACGTGCACCCCATGGTGAAATGTTAGCAGAAACATATAAGGTAGAGACAAACATTTACAGAATGCTAATATTGCTGGTGGAATGGTATTGACATAAAGAGTGTGTCAGAAACAGCAACTTTTCAAGAGTTAAACATAGAAAAAGACAAAACAGAGGTATATAGGTAAATTAAAAGGAAAGCAAAAAAAAGAAGTTAATTTAAAAAAAGCACTGAGATTTCTGTGTCCTAATGTTGTAGGATTTAATTTCTTTTGGCTTCTGATGTTTGTAGGATAAATCTGTTTAGAAAGATCCAAACACAACTTTTGTGGAGCTCTTCAACTATGTGTCTTGAATATGGAATAATTTTTATCCCTGGCTTTGTAGGAACTTTCATAAATCATAACATCACCTCATTTGTGACAGCTCTTAACATTTTGTGATTCAGAACTGGTTTGAAAGGGAACACCTGAACTTGGGAACACCATTCTCTGGTCTCAGACAGCAAAGGACAGAAGGCACAGTGCTGGTGGCTGAGGAATAACAGCTTTATCTTTTGGGGAAAAAAAAAAATGAACAGAACAACTTTTCTTTCCGTTTCCTCCAGTCAGTTTTCTTCCTTTCTTACCTATAGGTGTCCTTTATCCAAAATCTTGTGTTTTGTGTGGAAAGAGCCTATCGTGTGCCAGACTTTGGTGTCTGGGAGAGAGGAAGTAAATACAACAATGGCAGCCCAGAGCTGCATTCCAGGTAGGTGAGCAAAGGTAGTTCTTGCAGTCAAAGCAAGGAAATGAATCAAAAGAGTTCCTGGGGCGAGTTAAAAATAATAATGCATTAAGAGACTGTTTGAACTAAATTAAGATTCTCTAAAGACTGAGAGATGTATTTTGGGAAATGTGAAGCATAATTTCATCATCATATGCCTGCTGAAATAACCACGGAGATGCTTAGCTGTTTGAGTATTCAAATGCCAATAATTATGTGCAGCTGCATGCAGATAATTCAGAAAATGGTGTTCAGAACAGTTCAGATTCTTGAGGCTTGTGCAGTAGAGTGGATTCTCAGAAGTGTTTAGGGACATCCTGCGTTAAAAATGGGTTGAATCATGAGTCTAGATTTTCTCATCTCCACCATGCTGGGAAGAAGATGCTGGACACTGGCAAAGAGCCTAGTGCCAAGCTTTTATCCTGGTGCTTTGGATGCTCCAAGTGACTTGGTGTTTTGAGCCCTGTCCCAAGAGATGGTTAGGAATGCTCTTAACATTCTAATGTCAGAGTGATCCCTGAGCCCTGTCCCACGGGATGGTTAGGAATGTTCTTAACATTCTAATGTCAGAGTGATCCAGGTCATTGCAGTGGAATTGCTCACGTGCTCTCTGTCTTGAAGGATCAAATCTGTAATCTGACAACTTGATTTTTCTAGTGTTACTGTTGCTTTCTTCACTTTTTGATTTCTGAGGGTTTATTAATTGTAAAAATTGCTGTAACTTGGCTATCTTAGGATTTTTGACATGTTGTTGCTCATCCTAAGGGCTTACAGAGAATCCCCACGTGTCTTTTGGTCTTCAGCATTGCCAAAGGAATCTCTGTTCTCATTTGAGAATGAAATCATTTTTCTTGCTTCACATAGAGGCATGTAAATTTTAACCTATAGAGAGAATCACATGTCATTGCAGCAAAACACTTAATTTAGGTATTTTTTTCAGGTCTCTTATAGAACCTTTGTACCAATACGAGAACTGAAAAACCCCAGTTGTAGTTATATAATCTGCTTTAGTAGTTTGCTGGAGTTCTTCCTGTGTCTGTAAAACTGTCAAATGCCAAACTACATGAGCATCCACCTGGAGAATCCTATGCTTCCACATCTCACCTTGTCCAAATGTGCAAAAGCTACACTGGAAGTCCTGTGTCTCCTGTTATTTGCAGCATTCTGGTTATTCAGTATGTGAATTTCCTCCAGGGAAAAACTGAACATCTTTTAACCAGATGGAAATGGGCATATTGTTTTGTCTTAATCTAGGCTGACATTTATAGGTTGGTTTTTCTAAGGGTGAAGTTTTATGAGATGGACTGAGCCAATCTAACAGATCATTGAGCTAGCACAAAAGGGAGCTCGGTCCTAATTTAAGTAGTAGACTTTGGTCATCAAAAACAAGTATTGTCCCTATTTATCTTTCTTTGTGTGCATGTTGATACTCTGCCTCGCTGTAGAAGACTGGTAGGCAATTCCCCTTGTTCTCATAAATCAGAAACAATGAAAGAGGAACGTGCCTCAAAAGATGTATTTGGGTATCACTGAGGAGAGCCCTTGGTATGTTAAAATATTCTCTGTACTTTTCTTATGCTCCTATTGTAGTGTATCTACCAAAGAGAGCTGTAAAAATATTGGGTTTAGAATTTAAGAAGCAATTATAACCATCAGGTCTACTCAAGAATGATCTATGTGTGTCTTCAGCAGTTAGGAACCCCAAAGTGTTCTCTGCAGTGTCAGTATTTAAGTATGTGCATCCTGACCCCTTAAAGCCTACTCTGTTAGTCTATGTACAGTGTGTGTTTGCTTTCAGAATGAGAAGTTAATTCTTCTCTTTTGTTGAAAGAGGTTTTCTTTTTAAAGAAGGTATTATATAATAGGAAGTCTATGAATAGTAGCTGCAAATTATGGCCTGTGTTAAAAGATGTAGATATTTTAAGCCTTCACAGTCCTGGGATTCTCTCTTAGTACAGCTTGGAACACTTGTAATAAATGATAAATAGCAGCACACTCTGTGGAGCAAATCTGCACTGATGTATGCAAATTGATGTGTTTTATTGGTTCAAAGGCAAGATTTGTAACAGCTTTTGTTAGAGTGTGATCCCTTCCCATACGGCTGAACTGCTGAAAAATTCATTTGTCCTGTACCCATTTGATGAAGCTGTTCTGCAGCATCTGCTGAGCACCTCTGCAAAATGCCTTTGACATCTCCCAGATGTACTGGGAGAATAATGAAATTGCCAAAGTGCAGCATCTTCATGTTGCAAGTGTGGGACTGTGGGGCCTTGATGTTGCTCTTCTCTCTCGTGTGGGTGTTACATTGCTGTAGTGCTGTCCTTCCTTGTTCTGCTTTGGTTTATATAGCTGTGAAATTCTTGATGTGGGATTTTTCTTTTTTTTTTTTTGGTTGCGTGTTTTTAACACCTTTGTGGTGTTTGATGTTGCAGTTGAAATGCAGCACTGAGATGGAGGCAAGACACTGAATGGGAGGAGGTGTATTTTGCTCAGCAGTTGCTAAGGATATGCAGATTTTAATGTTTGCCCTCAGGTGTTTTTCTGAGAAGGGTGAATTAACACTTGAAAGTTACTGGCAATTATGAATGATGTTTAAGTGCATTTACTGAATCCTTTTTAGCAAGCTGGAACTAGAGTTTCTCTAGGTTAGTCTCACCTTCTCCTGCCCAAGACAAATTTGTCTCAAATTTCTTTCAGGCAGTATTTTGTAGACAGGCTGAGTAGTTTTACATTATCTGAGGATCTGTGGTTGTTGCTGTTGAACATTTATTACTTCTCTACCTTTTGTCAGTGACTTTTTCCTTGCTCTGAAAATATGAGTGTTGGTATTAAAAGTGTCATTTGAAAGGGAAAAGAAGAATATGAGATTGTAGCATGTGATAGAGATTCCAGTGTGCAGCATTGCTCTGATTTTCTGTGGATGCAGTTTGATGATAATACTTAGTTCCCATGAACTGAGTTCTTAGTTCTGAACCATCATGCCAAGTTGTTTGATGGATTGCAGGTGGTAACTGGAGTAGAACAGTGTTTAGGACAATCTCATTTTTGTTTGGGTATTTGAAACAAAGCCAGAAAAATCATTATGCTCAGAGTACTTCTGAGTTCAGTTTATTTCTTCACCACATTCTCCAGTCCTAAAAGCTTTACCTGATCAGAAGACACAGAAGTGAGGGATTTCACTGCTGGCAGCTGCTCAGAGCAGGATGTGGTGAAACTGGTCACCTTTCTCCTGGTGAGCCAGTGAGCGATGAACCCCATGAGTGCTGTTTCTGGCAACATTTCAGAAAGGAAGATGAAGGTTTATAAATAATCAAGTGTGAAATAAGTATACCATTTATTGTATCAAAAGCTAGTCAGAAATCAGTCTTGGGAAGTTGAGTGCTTGAGAGCTGAGTTGAAAAATTGTGCTGCAGTGAATCCTCTGTCAATACACTCCTAGCAAGACCTTGAAACACATAATGCCAGATGCCTGGTAGCAAGGTGAGAGCAGAAGTGCTTTTTCCAGATGGTCCCTGACATTTGAAGACAAATAAAAATGCTGAATAATATTTAAGGGGGGGGGGGAAAGGCAACTCGCCACCAAAACAGCCTGAAATTTGCTGCATCATCATTTAACTAACATGAAGGTTAAGTACAAAATTCAAATCAAGAAAAGACCATAGCTCTGAAAGCTATCAACTGTGTGAAATTGTAGCCTGGGCTTGAATGATGACACCTCTGGGTTTTTGTTGGTTTGTTTTCTCCTTAGCTCCGTGGGGTTGGCAAAAGCAGCTTTAGAAGCAATTAACGGGTTCAATCTCTTTGGAAATCAGGTAAGAAAAGTGTTTGTTATCTCTCTTTTTTTTCTTTTTTTCAGGAGAAAAGTGTTTATCTCTCTTTTTTTTCTTTTTTTCAGCAGTAATGACTTACACTGTGGATGCTTAGAAATACCTAGCCAAGTTTGTTAGATTCCTGTTTTAAAAAAAGTTTGCAGCTTGATTGCTCCTGTTTCAGTACAGAATTTGACTAAATTGTTAGTGTCTTTGCTATCAAGAATTATTTTTTTCCCCTTATAAAAAGAAATTCTAAAAAGCTTAGTCTTAAAAAGAACTTAGTTGCCAAAACATTTTTTTCCTTGAGGATTGTCTCTGTTGATGATAGTGAACTTCTACCTACAGGCATTATCTTACTTTTGTCTGCTTCCTTCATGTGGCTTTTGATCAAGACTTGGAACAAGCTACTTTTACATAATCCCACTGGTTTACTGGGTTTTAATGTCAATATGCTGCATAGCTGTAAAATCTTTTCCCATCCCTTCACATGACTTGGCTCAGCTAGGAAAGCAAAGCTTTCCTGAGCTTTTTTATATCTGGTTTATATTCCCCTTCTATGTGCATCTTTCTTTTTGGTGTTACACCTCCAGTTGTCTGTAGCTGAAATAAAACAATCCTCTCCCAAATGAATGGTTTAGAAAATGTCCAAACAAGAGATAAGTCATCCATTTTAAAGGCTGATGTCAAGTGCTAAGAACTAGGAGCTAGTAAGGACCTTTAGTAATGGTCAGACATTATACATGCATTGTCACTAGTTCAGAAACAACTTTTAACTGTTATCTTTACCTTCCCAACAGTTTCATGCACCAGCAAACATGACTGCTCGTTTTTTTTCAAATTTTTTTTCACTAATTTCTGAACTTGATGAATAAACTGCTGAAGCAAGATCAGGTTAAATGCTCTGAGCATTTATTTCTGAGATATTTAGTTGGCATAAACAGAAACCATTTTGACCTTCAACCCATGGCATAGTTTGCCTTTGTGCTTAGCTCCAGCTGTGTTCCAGTAGCTTTGAGAAATCCTGTTGAGCTCTTCCAGAGAGACTTGTTTGCAGCTGCACTGGTACAACCTGCACAAGTCAGTGCTGGGGTGACAGTCTGCTCGTGACAAGATGAGCATGTTTAAAGTCTGACCTAGGCAGAGTGTGATGGAATCAGCTGTTTGTACATGAGCTACATTTCCTGGATTTGTCTGGGAGGAAATTTTTTTTTTTTTTAAACAAGCCTTTAAATTGTCCTTACTCCAGAACTTTACAGCCTTTAGAGAAGTGAAAAATAGTTCATTTGTAAAACAAGATGCCTGTGGGTTTCTGAAATGCAAATGAGCCTGCTTTGAATCCCTAGAGGATCCTCCTGTAGCACAGACTTGGAAACTGCACGTGCACACATGGAGGCAGGTTGTGTTCAGAATTTCCAGATGAATTTAGAGCTTTGTGAATGATCAATCTGGATTAAGAAGAAAGTAACCTAATAAATCATCAAAACAAATGGTATTATTTATGTACATTATTAGCTCTAGTCAGTATATGTCTTGCTAGAATGATTAAGAAAACAGATTATTTTTCCATGAGGACAGTGGAATAAATGCCTTGTTTACCCTAACAAAGCAAAGGCTGAATATTTTTATGATAACTATGTATAATTAGAGTGCAGCTGAGGAACATGTAAGGAAAAAAAACCCTGGAGAGATGTCTTGGTGGATGCTGGTACGGCCACACAAAAAGGATGGGTAGCTGCTTGTGTACAAACTCACTTGGAAAGTAAAGTTTTTTAATAATTAGGATGGGTTTGAAACAGTTCTCCTGGAGACTAGTATGCCAAAAAAACTGACTACTGGTTAGGAGGAATTTGGTGGATTGATGAAACCTTGTGCTCTGGTACTTGTGACCATATCAGAATGAGTTGGCATTGAATGTGTCTTGCAAAGGGGCGGTGACTCTGAGGTTCATCATCAGTTGCAGTATGTGAAGGTCTCCACTCAGTGACCTACTGCACTGAGTTGCTGAGAAATTCCCTCTGATAATACTGGTAAATGCTGCTGGTTCTGTTTAAACAGTGTCTCTGCTGTGGGAATTTTTCCGAGTGTTTTAGGAAGTATCAAAAAGCTGAGAGAGAGGTATAGTGTAAAATTACAGGATTTCATTGGGAAATAGATTTTGTTAAGGGGTAGATGTTGATAACACAGACCTTAGAGTAACTGAAAAGCAGACAATTTCTATTTGCTGTGGAAATCTTTTTCCATTGCAACACCTGCTGAATACCCAACTATTTGTGTTCTAACTGACTTGTAATGACATACTGCCAATGGAATCCTGGGCTGCATCCAAAGGAGTGTGGACAGCAGGTCAGAAGAGGTGATTCTTCCCCTCTACTCTGCT